TAGTTCAACACAGACAAAATTTCCACTATATGTAGCTTAAATGTGTTATGCAATGTTTGTTTTGACCTCATTTGATGGATTTATTTAAATGTGACAACTTAATTACTCTGATTTGAATATTTATGCACATTTTAGCTTTATGTTCAGGTATATGAAATACAGGACTGTTAAAATACCATGTATTATAAAAGTAGTTGTTAGAAAGTGAGGAAACTGCTCTTTAAATATAATTTTTCTCACACAATGCAGTTTCCATCCTGAAAAATAATTGAGTCACAACTAAAGTGAGAAAAAAGTCAAAAGAAAAAGTGCTTTTGAATATCCAAAATTTGCTTTCTAGAGGGAAGAAAAATATAGGCCACGTTGTCTCTTTCAAAGCGTCAAAACACTCTTTGTACCATGTTTTTCTTTTCTGCTTTCTTTCTTAATCTCTTAATCTCACTCTGCTCCCCATTTTAAGTGTCTGTCTTTCATTCTATTTTCATAATATTTTCTCTATGTTAATTTAGACTAATAGTTTCATTAAACTATAAAATTCTAGGAAAATTCGAAACTTTTAAAGTATTATTTTAGGGATTTTATCTCTGCTTATATGGAGAGAGAGGGAAAAAGAAGCAAAATAAAAGCAAGATCAGAGGGGAAAATGAGAACTAGAGTAGAGAAAGAGGATGAGAGGAAAGAGCTGAGAGCAGGTGAAATAAAGATAGAGCAGATTGTATTGTATGCCAATTTTGTATACCAAAGGGAGGTAAGGTGTGGAAACTGTCTCAGGCATCAGGAAATAATATTTGAATTCTTGAAATGATTTTCACAATCTGCAACATAAATTAGTAAATAAGTAGTAAATAAGGTATTCCTGGAAAGTTTAACGATGCCTAAAAGTTAGTCGGATTTAAAATTGTCACTTATTTTACTATAAAGAGAAAATATCAGACCACCCAAAAGTGCTTTATATCATATAAAATAACAGTGCAATTCCAGCATTGAAATGTAAATTTTTGAAAGTTTCTGCTACTTCCCATGTCAACAGTGTTAAAACCCAGGGCTAACGTTAGTCTGCATTGTGGCTTGCATCATCCGTAGGTTCATTACCTAGGACATTAATGGAAGTCATCTTCAGAAAAGGGACAAGAAAAATATTTTATGCAGTCAGCAGTGCTGGATTGCAAACATTAAACTGTCCTTTTTAACAATATGAATAACTATATGTTAGTTAATACTTTACCTTCAAGTGAAACAAGAAAAAAATAATGCTTGTGAGGAAACATTGTTTTGCTATGGTATATGTTCAAATCTATTTTATTTATATTCGAATCAGTAGTTTATTATTTTCCACGACCTTTGTACAAATTATCACATCTTGCAAAAATTGTAAGTGCACATTTAGAGATCAATATCTAAGATAAGCTGATTGGTTGGTGCCTGTTAAAAGCCGGAGAAATGCTAAGAATCAACATTGCAGCATTGCTCAGTAAAGACGTTTTATACTATCTTGTATCATAACCCTTGTTTCATCACAGACATAGCTTTTTAATGTTCAAATATTATTGCTATTTTATTTTTGTTTCTTCCTTATAAAATGTAATGCTACATTTTTGATTAATGTTTTATTTATAAAACTTAACAGTAATAATGGGAACTATAATGCTTTGCCTATATAGTTTTATTTATGAACTTATATTCTTCCCTTTTGGCATAAAGTTACTTTTATTTTTGTTGTTTTTGTCTAAAAGAAAGGAAACATAAATATAAGAAATATGACATAGCTTAGTTAAGTTTATAAATATAATAAATATAGCATAAGTTTATAAATATAATAAGATAGCTTAATTAATAAATTGGGCTACCACAATTTAAAATGAAAAGTTTAGCCCTTATTTTTTTTGTCTTTGGTTATTTATAAGTTTAAATTTAAATAAGACATAGTGTCCTGCTATAATTTTTTAAATCTTCAGGTATAAGACATGCCAACATCTTAATTCATATCTTACACACGAGTACTAATGTGTGTGTCTGTGATCCCTTGCCAAATAATACAATGTTTGTATGACTTACGGCTTCACAGCACTGATGATGTCATATTTTAGAAAAGCATCTGTTAGTAACAAATTTAAAGGCAATGAATGAGAGAGCAAGTCTTCCTTTTGGCATAATATATCGCAGGGTTTGTACTTTTTTCCTCATTAACTCTGATCTCTTGGTTTCTCTTTCTCTGTACTTGTGGAGTTCTACAGACCAATGATGCTTTGAATGTACAAGTTGAGCTCTTTTGAGGAAAGTTTTCTGCTATTTCCTTTTTCACTATTTATTTGTCATTTTGGAAATTTATACTGGAAATTTCTGACCATTAAATTAGGTTTGGAAAAACACATTTTAGACTAATTTCATAAATAACATTGCCTTAAATGGATATAGTCGCAATTAAACGCTTAAAATTTGTTCAATAAATTACAAATTCTCATTAGAGATGTATAGTCTGTTTTTGCTTCTTTTCTTTTTCCTCATGAAATAACCATTAATACAAATTGGTTCCTACCTCTTCACACAGTCAGAGCAATGTTATTTTTTATTTAAATCAGATCCAGGGGTGGAGACGACACAATGCTTAGAGAGCCCAAAAGCAAAGTTTGGTCACAGATACTTAAAAATCTCACTCTTATGTGAGTGTCTTCTTGTATTTCTTCATAAGACACAAATAGTTTCAGCTGACCTTTAAGAAATTTAAAATGTGAGTTGTTTTTAGTGAAGAATAAATTCCACACATTTTAATGAGCATTTTATTGAGTAGTTTCCTTTTGTTCTTCATATGACTATTTCAATTGAACATTTAACTTTTAAACTCACATACCTAATTATTAACCAATGTGCCACTCTGAAAATTATTTGATTTCCTCTGACTCAGTTTTCCATTTTGTAAAATGTTCAAAGTAGTATGATATACATCATTGAGTTATTAGGAATGTTTTCCACCTGATTTTTTCTTCTCTCATTTCTACATCTTTCCAGTTTTAACCTATACATTGATCATAATTTACTTGTTAAAAACACTTATGATATTGTCACTTTTCAATTTTGGTAATCATTTTTGATATTCCTATTATTGATAGAGTACATTCTGGACTTTTTTGACCACTCCAATTTCAAATCTAATTTAACCTTGTGTATTCCACTATGGTCTGTGTGTACTCCAGCCAATCTGAACATAGCTATTCTTAGGAGGATACAACCACTCTTGATTACATCTTTAGTTTTCCATTTCCTTACAGCCTTCTCAAATATATTTTCTTTTACAAAAACCCTATTTCGTGGAGACAAGTTCCAATACCAGTATCATCTACATATAGGCTTCTTTGATCTCTCAAGTATGATCTTTTCTAGTTCAGTACTCAGATTGTATGGCATTGAACTCTTTAACATGTTCATCATCTGCTCTGTATTCTTGTTGGCTTTAGAAACATATTTATATCATTTATTGAGAGTTTCCAGTGGAGACATGAGATTTTGTTTTACTGAAAGTACCTCTTCGAAAACATAGACTAGAGCTATTCTGTACATAGAAAATTATTTATAAATATAATTAGTTAAAGAAACATTACAGAATAACAGGAAACACATGGACATTTGAGTAAAAAATACTAGGTTTTGAAGGATGAACTAAATATTGTTTATCCTTGACCAACTTAAAACTATATGATTTATTTTCCTTACCTATAGAAAAACTATTATGGTTGCTCACTTTTCAGGATTGTTGCAAGGATCAGAGATGATGTATGAAAAAGATTTTTACTATGCCTGGGTGTAGTAGATGCTCATTAAAGTTTTCCCTTTTTGCTTGTGTGACAAAACATTTCTACTGTCTGCCATATGAAATGTGGCAGTGCATGTGAGATTGATCACTATAGGTATGGTTGGAGAATGAACTTTCAGATAACAAATATAGTCATACTTTGGCACTTGATGGCTTTGAAACTTGCTGAGTTTGCTACTTGGTGTATTCTGATTTGAAAATTGTGTCCAAACACTCATTGTTTGTCTGATGGGTCTCACACAAGCTGGTACTTGTTAGTATCGATTCCCTTGTGACTCTGCCAAAACAATTTGTTGGGTACTTGCTGGTTTTGATATTCACTGTGCTTCTCAGAACCAATTAAGGACAAGGAGTACCAAGGTACCACTGTAACACTGCATATTATACTGTCTTGATAAAATATTGCCGTAACTTTTGGAAAAGAAGTCCTGGCTGCACTATGACAATAGGTGGGTGGTTCATTCATTTACATTTGTCTAATAGGTTTCCTTTCAATAACACTTCAAGAGGTAGACAATACATGAAGGTGGCGTTAGAAGGAAAAGAGTCACCACCTTCATATAATAAGTAATTCCATTGTTCATTTAGACAACATATATGTGAAGGCTTTAATTATGTGCCGATAACCTTAATGGTTACAATACTGAACTAAAACAGATCCAGTTTTTAATGAAGAGAGAAAAAGTGTATTAAAAATATATGCATCAAATCATACAACAAACACAGGAGTTACGGTATTAAGGTCGTGATCTAGTGCAACTCTGAATCAAAACTCAAGTGGTGGCTACAGAAATACACTGAGATTCACATATTTCCCCTGCCCAAAGATAGACCATATTTTCTCCCTCTGGCTTTGGAGTCTGGATAATTAACATGATATGTTAAATGTCCATTAGACTAATAAAAGATAAGATAGAATTAACCCCAACCCTGTGTATTTATTGTAATGCTGATTAAAATAAATATAAGTGAAAAGCAATTTCCCATATAATTTTTGACAGTGAAAAAATGCACCTGTAACTCAAATTAGGCACTCATTT